TTTTATTACTAGAAGATTTTTCCGGTTGTCCTTAACACCCCTTCCTGAGGTTCCTATCTCCTCTCTCTTCCTCTTCCTCTTCCCTTTCCCTCTCTTCCTGAACAGTCCCAAGTCCCTACATTTGCATCTGCTATGCAATATTCCCTCTCTCCTTCTCCTTCCCTTGGATTTAACTGACCCTCTCCCCTCACCAGTCCCCCATGCAACACCCCAAAAGACAAAAAAGTACCTGTCCAATCCTCCCTAGGTGCATCTTTGCACCCTTTGGGAGGTTCTGAGACTGGCCCTACTCGGTCCTAAGAATCCCAAGGTCTTCTGGGAGCTTCCAGCATGTTACTTAGCATATCATTTGCATACTGACATCTCTTTAGGTTTCCTTCTTCCATTTTTCTCTTCTCTCAACCTGTGTTTCTTTTTTACTGAGGAGTTAGTCCCCATTGGTCCTTGTATCACACTTTCATTTGCACGACATTACATGCAGGTGGTGGGGAGTCTGGGCTTTTGGGGAACCAGGCGGCCCTGGTCCCCAGTATTGCCCCCTCCTAGCCCCTCTAGTCCAGTTTGCCTTCCCTATCCTAATTTTCCAATCCTCTTGTACCCTCCTCTCCCTCCCCCCAGCTGGTGTGTAAGTGTCTTGGAGTTCAGTGTGTTATGATGGACCAATAACTCTGCCACTTGGGGTCTCTCCCTACATTCCTGCTCCCCAGTTTTCATGTGGGGCACGCAACTGACATTCCCAGGGGTCTCCCTCCTTCCCATCTGCCTGATCTGCCTCCTCCTCCCACCAGGAGAGTTGGGGGTTGGCAACAATCTGATCTCTTTTGGGAGGAGTGGCTACCAGTGTGTGTGGGGAGTCATCACTGCCTTGGGGAGGAGTGGGACAGGGCAGAGAATCCCCCCAATTCCTGCCTGAAATCTCTGGCCTCACCCCTGCTGGAGGTTAGACTGAAACCTTCCTCCCCTGTTTGGGGGGTGTTGCCCCCATCACTGCCCAGCTCCTCTGACTGCCCCCCTGTATTCAGGGTGGGGGTATTAGTCACTGCCAATGTGTGTATGGGACTTGCTGGATGATGGGGAATCCTTGCCCTTTTCTGGTGCTGTTGAGCCCCAGAGAGAGCTATCCCCTCATTGGGTGAAGTGATAGAGGATGGGTCTAATGTCTTTTTAAATGGCACAATTTTAGGGGTCTGAGGGTGCAGTCCCTTAGCCTGCCACTGGAGGGGGCCCCCAAACTCCCCATGCCCCCACCACCACTCCAGGTTTTCTGTGTGGAGGGGGAGCAGGGAGATCTAAATTGTGGTGTGAAAGGGTAGGAGAGATGCTGGGGGTGGGGGTGCTGTGTTCTAGACCCCCCATATTATCCCAGTGTCCCCTGCCTTCCCTCTTCCCCCATCCCGTGCCCCCAATTCTGTGGCGCATCCAGATTGTGAAAATGTACAATAAATGTGTAATGAGTAACCAGGTAGTGTCTGTATTTTTGTGTGTGTGTGTGTGTTGTTGTTTTTTTTTTTTCTCTGCTAAGGATTGAACCTAGGGCCTAGCACATGCTAGGCAAGTGCTCCAGTACTGAGCTGCATCTCCAGCCCTTTTTATTTTATTTCCAGACAGTCTGGGTAAATCGCCCAGGCTGGCTTTGAACTCAAGGTCCCCTGTTGCAGATTCCGCAGATTCCCACAGACTCCGGAGTTACTGGGATTAATCCTTTGTTAAGGGAGAAGGATGTTGGATCTACAGGTGTAACTGGAGGTTGGGAAGCAGCTGGGCTTTGCAGGAGGCCCTGATCTTTAGCAATGCAAATTGTGATTCCTCAGGTGGCCAACAGAGGGGCACCAGGAATTGGTAATGGCTGCTGAACTTTTAAGTTCTGGGGTTCCCAGCTTGCCTGGGGTGTGCTTTTGATGTTGGACTCCTTTGCCCCCTCCTAGATTTAGGTGCTCTTTAGTTGCTCCCAGTGGGTTATTCACTCCTAGGTCTGGAGTAGATGGTCATGTCGTGAATCATCTCTTTCCCCTTTGTGCTCAGCAGTATGCCAGTGTCAAAGGGATTAATAAATACTTGATTTTGTTTGGTACTAGATATTGAACCCAGGGGTGCTTTACCACAGAGCTGCATTTCAGCCTTTTTTATATTTTGCAGGGACCAGGGATTAAACCCAGGGGTACTTAACCACCGAGTAACTCCAGCCCTTTTTCTTATTTTGACACAGGTTCTTGCTAAGTTGCTTAGGGCCTAAGTTGCAAGTCTGGCCTTGAACTTTCAGTCCTCCTGCTGTAGCCTTCTGAGTTGCTGGGATTACAGACATGCCAGTGCTCTCTGCTTTAGTTTTTTGAAACAGGGTCTAAATTGTTTAGGACCTAGCTAAGTTGGTGAGGCTAGTCTCGAACTTTGGATCTACTGCCTGAGCCTCCCAATGCTAAATACTTGTTGAATCAGCTCAGGAAGACCCAGATTTATGACATACAGCAAACTAGTATTGACACAGTACATATACATAGTATTGACATACTACATACAATAGATGGGATGTATAGCTCTTGAGCGATATCCCCAGCTCTTTTTTATTTTGAGATATGTTGTCAATAAATTTCTTTTTTTTAATATATATTTTTTAGTTATACATGGACATAATATCTTTATTTTGTTTGTTTATTTTTATGTGGTGCTGAGGCTTGAAACCAGTACCTCACATGTGAGGGGCAAGCACTCTGCTACTGAGCCACACTCCAGCCCCTGTTGTCGATAAATTTCTGAGGCTGGCTTTAAACTTGATTCTCCTACCTCCTTAGCTGCTGGGATTATAGGCATGGGCCACCATATCTGGCTCATGGATGCTTTTAAAGCCTCATGATCTACTGGCTGAGCTAGCTGGCCATCTTTAGAGCTGCTTTCAAATACAGATTTTTAGAAGACCCAAATTGGTGTGAACATACTTTATGTACAACCAGAGATATGAAAAATTGTGCTGTATATGTGTAATAAGAATTGTAATGCATTCTGCTGTCATTTATTTTAAAAAAACAATAAAAACAGATTTTTAGGCCCCTTCTCTAGAGATTCTCATTATGTGTTTTCTTTTAATAATTAATTTTTTAATTTGTTGATGGACCTTTATTTTTATTTATTTGTATGCGGTGCTGAGAATCGAACCCAGTGCCTCACGCATGCTAGGCAAGTGCGCTACCGCTGAGCCACAACCCCAGCCCCTAGGTGGTTTTTTTTTTTTTTTTTAATTATTTTTTCCTGTACTGGGGAATGAACCCAGGGATGCTTAACCAGTGAGCCATGTCCCCAGCCCTATTATATTTTTTATTTTAGAGATAAGAGTCTCACTGAGTTGCTAAGTGCCTCGCTAATCTGCTGAGGCTGGCTTTGAACTCAGGATCCTCCTGCTTCAACTTCCCAAATTGTTGGGATTACAAGTGTGTACCACTGTGCTTGTTTGATAAGGTGGTTCTAAGAGGCTCAGGTAATTCTTGTAACTAGGTATACAGTCTACCTAAACTTCCACCTTATAATATGCTAAGATTTTGTGTATGTTAAAAGCGTCTCCCAGTCATCCCATTCCTTGGTATATGCCCAAAGAAATTTAAATCAGCATACTACGTGAAGCAGCCACATCCATGTTTATAGCAGCTCAACGCACAATAGCTACGCTATGGAACCAACCTAGGTGCCCTTCAAAAGATGAACGGATAAGAAAATGTACATATACACAATAGCATATTACTCAGCCATAAAGAAGAATGAAATTATGTATTTGCCAATAAATGGTTGGAACCAGAAACTATCATGTTAAGTGAAATAAGCCAATCCCTCCCCCCCAAAAAGCTGAATGTTCTCTCTTGATATGTGGTTGCTAACATACAATGGTGCAGTAGGGTGGAGAATAGAAGTTCATTGGATTAGACAAAAGAGAATGAAGGGAAGAGAGGGAAAATGGGAATAGGAAAAACAATAGAAGTAATCAGACATAACTTTCTTAGGTTCATATATGAATACACAACCAGTGAGACTTCATATAATGTGCAACCACAAAAATGGGATTCTAATTACAATAAGTTATACTCCACGTATGTATAATATGTCAAAACACACTCTACCGTCATATATATAAAGAACAAAAAAGTCTTCCTGAATCCCTTGTAGATTTGTTTCCCTGGGCCCTAGAATATTCTTTCTTTGTGGTTTCAGGGGCCTGACTTCAAATTTTAGCTCCACTGTTGGCTATTACTTCGTACAGATTATGTAACCTCTGAATCAGTCTTATTTGTGAGGAAGTGGGTAGCAAGTGTGTCGGCCTCCTTGGTGTTTTTGAGAAGCGCTTGGCCTGGCCACAGAAAATAATCAAGAGGCATCTGTAATGTCATTCGTTATCTCCATGATGCAGCGGTGAGATCTAAAGACCGCTTCATCCTAGGGCTCCATCTTCCAATTTTGGGTAGTACCAGGGACACAGAGCCGCAGCTAAGCCCCAGAGGCGCTCAAGTCACGCCAGGGTCTCCGTACAGACTGTCCCCACCTACGCCATCACCGCTTACATCTGCGCCTGCGTGCAGGTCACGCTCGATGCGCCTGCGCACACAGTCTTGGGTAAATGTCGTCAAGGAAAATCCCCAGCTTCTGGGTAAACAAGTTGCCGCGTGAGATCTCCAGCACGTGTCACCTACATCTCCACGACCTCAGCCTATGAGAAAGTTTGGAGGGCCGGACTGGCTTTTGCGTCAACCGATATGGGTAGGTCGCGGGTTGTTGTTACAGCCAGTAGAAATTCCGGAAACGGATGGAGGTGTGGCTTCCGGTCAGTCTCCCAATCAACGCACAGAGGCTGTCCCTCCCGCACGTGGATCTATCACTACCGGTTGTCACGCTGACCAATGGGAAGACAACGGCGGCTGAAAATTCCAATGGAGGCTTTGCGAGGGCGGGGCGGCTGCACGCGGCGCGGGGCATGGGTCGGTGTCTCTGAGCCAATAAGATGGGGAGGGCGTGGCATCCCGGGCGGTGGGCGGGCCTGGTGAAGCCAGTGTAATCGCTACCTTACGTCCCACTGGTGAAGAAATTTGGATTCTGCGTGCGCTTCGAGCGGTGAGTGCCCCGGGGGTGGAGAGAAATGAGGAACGGGCTATATGTGTTTTTCCGGAATGGTGTGTTCGGTCAGAAGGGGTATAGTGGAGTGGAGGGATCTTGCAAATGCATGTCTGTCGCTCTGGGAGGTCTGATGGTTGTGGACAATAGAGACCGCGAACTCGGCTTAGGACATGGGTGGGAGTTACTAACATCAGTTCCCTCCACCACCCTAGGGTACCTAGACTCGACTGTCAGGGAAGGGTGCCCAGAAGCTCTCAGCGACTCGATGGAAAGGAAACCCCCGTTCCGGGGGAGGTATGGGGATGGTACCCCTGAGAATTGATGGGGAATGTTCCAGTGCATGACTGCGGTTTGGATAGGTGCCTTCAGCACTTGAAAGAGGCAGAGGAGAGGTTTTGAGGCTGGAGGGAGGTCCTGATAGGGCGGATGGGAGGGTACCCAGGGGCTGGCCTGGGATTTGAGAAAGGGTGCTGTGCTGATTGGTGTGACCTAGAGCCAGTCTCATCATGGCTGTGGTTGTCTTTCTCATGTGTCGAGGGGAGAATTTGGGTCTAGGAGCCATCCCTAGGAACAGAGGTGGGGCAGCAATTGTTGGGTTATGAGAGGAGGACAGATTAGGGATTTGTGCAGATTGGCTGTGCACAGATCCTCCTGAGCCGCCTGAAGTGGGGAGGCACCAAGAGCCTGCTCTAGTTAGTGTCTGTACAAATAACAAGGCCTATGGTAATGTGGCCTGGAGTAAGGTGGAAAAATGAGGAAGTGAGTTTCCTAGGAAACCTTTGAGGGGAGACTACTGGCGTGATCTCAGCATGGGAAAATGGGATACAAAAAGTGTGTGGGGAGTGTAAACAATGTTTGGCGATTGAACCTAAGGGGAAGAAGGGGTTAGATGGAATCTGTGTTCCAGGCACCAAACTTAGCTGGATATTTGAGAGGCCCAGGTTTGTCATTTTTTTGCTGGAATGCAGCTTAGAGGTTGGATAACACCTCACAGGTTCAGAGGGTAAGAAGTCAGAATGACCAGCCATCATTTAGAGCTCAGACTTGAACCCTGAGCTCCATTTGTTAAGAGGCTGAGACCATGTTATAAGGCAGAAAATTAGACAAGTTTAATAAATTCTTAGTGGTCCCCCCATAAAATGGAGGTAATAATGCCTTTTTTTTTTTTTACAAGACTTTAATTAAAAAAAAAACTCAACAAAAATATTAATCAAGCATTTTATATAAGGCATAATAATACCTATTTCACAGGGTTTTTTGGGGGGGGATTAAATGAGATTAATGCATGTATAACGCTCAGTACAAGGCCTGGGTCATTTTTTTTTTTTTTAAATGTAGCTTAAAAAATGGCTGTAGGGTGACAAAACAACTGTGACAGGGTGAGAGATTTATGTGAATGTTGTGACTGGGAATTATTCTCACATTCTCATGTTTTTCTGCAAGTTTTGATGACTCCCCATTTCCCTTCTTCCTGGTTCTTCTGGTCTTCAGGCACCAGCCCAAATTTCTTCATTCCTCCCTGTCCTTCTTCCAAGATCCAGGCCCCAGACTGGGCTATTTGCTCTGTCCCAGTTTGATTTCCTCATCCTAGACCCATTCACCTCCTTGCCCCTCCTCCCTCTCCTTCTCACCGCCCCTACCCTGCTGCCATAGTAACAAGAGATTCGGGCTCCGAAGGGGGCCTCTGGGAGGGAGCAAAGGTGCGTCTTCTCTCGCAGAACTTGGGCCTCCACTTCTCCGCCCTGGCTCTTTGGTACTGGGCCAGCAGCAGTGTGCAGTTTGGGAGAGGGGGAAAGCCAGTGCCAGGAGCTGTTAGGAGCGAGCTGAGGGGCCGGCAGATGCGAGTTCCAAAAGGAGAGCCAGGCCTGGGGGCGGGGAAGGGGGACCCCCTCCTCCTAAAGCTCTCTCCAGGAATCCCTGGCTTTGGGACAGGACCGCTGTCGTTGGGTTGGGGGAGGCGTCCAGGCTGAGTGTATGTCCTGGGCCAACAGCCAAGAGAACACGATGTTCCCAAGTGCGCTAGCCGCCGCCCTCTTGGGCTGGCCGCCTCCCAAACCGCTGCCTTTCCAGCCTCCCTGCCCCACATTCCCCGGCTGCTTCGCCCCGCCCCCTTCCTCCGCTTTGACGTCACCGCTGTCTCCCGCCCCCTCTTCTCCATTGACGGCAGCAGAGCCTGGTTGCTGTGGGGACCGCGAGGCAGGACAACCGGGGCCTTAGGAGCAGGTGGGGGCTGCTGGAGCGCTGGATCTTTCGTCTATGCAAAATACAGATGTGGAGGTGGAGGTGGGCGAGCAAGAACTGCCTGGGTCAGGGGAGATCATACCTAAATCCCTGAAGAGAGCTGGAGAGGGAGAAAATCGTTTTTCATAGAAGAGGATCTGAAAATGAGACAAGGGCAGAGACACAGTAGGGGCGGGTGTGTTGGGGGGAGGCAGGACCATTTTCAAGAAGAGGAGGCTGAGAATCCAGGTTCCTGTATCCTTTGTTTTCTGTGTTTTCCTGTCTTGGTTTTTCTGGGTTATTTTATAACAGCCTTGTGTCCCAGCTTTCCCTCAGAGGCCTTGCCCTCACCCCTCAATGGGAAACACCATTGTTAAGAAAAGCTTAGGCCACGTGACAGTGAGGGGTGTGCATCTACAGCTGATTATGTCAGCAGTTGCGTGGGGCCTCTTCACTTGCTACCCACGTTTCCAGGGAGTCCTAAGAGGGACTACTCATCACAGTGCTGGATGGAGGGGCTGTGTAAGAACAGCTTTCCTGGACCCAGACTGGCACTTTATTTCCCCAATCAAGTCCCTGTTCTCTTTTTTAGCACTCAGTACTCTGCTCTTTCCTTCTTCTTTTTTTTTTTTTTAAAAAAAAGTAGTTCCACTTCTCAGGTTCCTTCACCACCTCCCACATTTATATCCTTAGAAACAAAAATTATCATATTTATTGATCACCTACCATGTGTCAAATCCTTTCCTGGGTGATGGAGGATACAGCAATTGAGATGGATGAGATCCCTGTTAGGCCCCTGTATCTTGGCTTTCTCTTTTTTAGTGGGGATATGAATTGATTGCCACCCCACCTTTCTCTAGGGCTCTAGCTATCCTCTTTCAACCTCTACTCCCCCTTCATCTCTCTGTTGCCCTGGCTTCCTGGCCCCCCACTTTGGGGGCAGCCCTAAATGTGGGTGGCTGTATCCTCTGAAGAAGCACTAGTCACCATGTAGGCTGCTTGGAGACCTTTTCTCTGATTGGTTATGAAAACACCTGGCATTGTTTCCATTCACGACTCCTATTGGCTCTGGCTGTCCCTTGCATTGTCGGCATCTTCCCTCCACCCACTCATCCCCCAGTCACACGTGGACCCTCAATTGACTTCCTCCCAGGATTTGAGTGTCAGAGGAAGGCGTTGGTTCATTATGTATGGTGACAAGATTGAGGAGGAGAACCCAGGAAAGGCCAAGCGAGGTTTCTGTCTCCCCCTCCTCTCAGGGTCCAGCCAGCTCATCTAGCTTCATCCAGGTCCCAGGGTCTACGTTCTCACCTCGGGGCAGGCCAAGATGTTCTGGTGGTTAATCCCGGAAGTAGACATCTCTTGAGTACCTACTGTGGCTTGGAGGCATTTTCCCTGAAGAGGGACAGCTTACTTCCTCTTATTTCCTTCCTTTATTCACTGTGCAAAGCGTCCTGCATCCATTGGCTGGGCGGTGTCTGGGGCCCTTCAGCCCAGCTCCAGCGCCCAGGTCCACGTGCGCCGGTGTGTGTGACACAGCCCTGACCTCAGTGGGGGCCAGTAGCCAATCAGGGGCCGGGAAGAGATCCCCAGCCAATCGGGGGCGGGGCCGACAGCTCTGCGGGCAGGGGGCCAATGAGGGGCAGTGCCTGGCATTATGCAACCCGCCTCCTAGCCTCGCGGAGGTTCTACTCCGCAGAGGGCTGAAACAGCAGCGGGCAGGCAGCTGGAAGGCGCTCGCACCGCCAGGTAGGAATCTCCGTCGCCACCCTAGCCAGTCTCTGTTCTCGAGTCAGGCCGCCGCCACTTCCAATCTGATAGGACACTCAACCCGGGCACTCAGCACAACAGCAGTCCGCCTTCCTTGTGGCTGTTCGCTGGGACCTAGGTGCTCCTCTCAACCCTGCACCGGGTGTCCACACTCCTGACCCTTTCATATTATCTCCACCTTTGCTCCCCGGTCCCAGCCACCCCGACCCCACAACAGAACCTCAGTGGGCATGTCCCATGTCTCCTTTATTATCATACAGGGCTCCCCAGGTTTGCCTTGGCCCCAGGACCTCTTCAGGCTTTTGGAGCTCCTTGCCCTCCCCCTTCCAATCCCTGGCCTCAAGCCGGCCGTGATGTCAGCCCGCTTCAGGCTGGAACATCCCGTTCCCGGTGCTAGTTCCTGCTGTTAGCCAAAGCCTTCCCTTTTTCTTCTGGCGCTCAGAAAATGCTCGGGATGGGGGTGTGGTTGGACGGGGAGCAGAGGAAGAACTATCTGTTGGCTGTTTAGCGTCCCCTGCTCCAGGCTTGGAATGCGGGGAGGGGGAGGGGCGGCTGGAAAAGTAGGGAACTGAGGGGAGAGGATTCCTGGGTCCTTGATAATGGCAGGTGCCTGGCTTCAGTCCGGCGGTCCGGAGGGGGGTCAGGAGCCAGAGAAAGAAAGGATGTACCGTAGTGCCATAATGACTGGGATCCAGGCGCTAGCCAGGTTGGGGGGCTTTTTCGCGGAGGGGCAGAGGCGGTTGTGTTTGATTCTAGGGAGGCCTGGACCAGCCCCTGGAATCTCTCTAGGCTATTCCTCTTTATAGGGCTGTCCGGGGACTTGGGTTATTTTAGGGTGGGCGACCCCGGGCTGTGACCGCCAGTGGGGGAGTGGGTCGTTCCCTCACTTCTGCGGGGGTGGGGGGGTGGGGGGATATGGGGGAGGGTCGCCCCTCCCTTGCTCCCTTGGTCCCTCCAGCAACCGCTGAGCTCAGCGGCTGACGTCGGTTTCCCTGGCGACCGAGGCGGCGGAAGCGCGTGGTGGGGCCGAGCACTTCGTTGCGCATGTGCAGCGGGAGTAGTGCCGCCCCCGGATAAAATTAGCCCGGAAGCCTAAATTTAGGAGGCGTTCGGCTAGTTTTCTGGCTCTGCGGTCTTGGAGTCCCAGACTGACTTGGAACTTGATGGGAACTTGGGAATGGGAAAGGTCCAGGTATTGGTTCATAGCCATAGGTCTAGTCGACTGCTCAGGCTCTGTTTACCCACGCCATAATGGCTAGGGAAGTGGAGAATAGTTTTGACTCTTTCCACCTGTAGCACCCGTGTGGGGATAGGAAACAGAAATATCTTGGCCCCCCATTGGGAGCCCCAGGCAGGGGAGGGTCGCATAATGTCAGAGTTCTGTGATGTTAATAGTCCAGCTTTTTCCAAACCTTCCTTCCTGTTCTCCCCCTTCAGGTACTGGCTGTGAACGAACTTCTCAAACTTCAGAAACACTTCTTCCACCTCACTCACAAGCCAGGCCTCAAGGCCACCTTGTTCAACCGTTGTGGCCTCTGCACCTTCCCTGTTCTCCTGTCCTTCCCATGGCCCAGACATGAGTGATCCCCTAGAAGAGGCTGATGGGGGAAGGGACCCCAGGCCTGGCGAATCCTTTTGTCCTGGGGGAGTCCCATCCCCTGGACCCCCACAGCACCGGCCTTGCCCAGGCCCCAATCTGGCTGATGACACTGATGCCAATAGCAATGGCTCAAGTGGCAATGAGTCCAATGGGCATGAATCCAGGGGTGCATCTCAACGGAGTTCACATAGCTCCTCCTCTGGCAATGGCAAGGACTCGGCCCTTCTGGAGACCACGGAGAGCAGCAAGAGGTATGTATGTATTTTTGTGTGCTGCAAAATCTGGGAGTATTTTGTGAATGAACTGAGGTAGGTAATAGGCTTCATGCTGCTAGTCACCTGCCCCTCATTTTGGGCTGTTGCTTCTCCTCCAGCACAAACTCTCAGAGCCCATCCCCACCCAGCAGTTCCATTGCCTACAGCCTCCTGAGTGCCAGCTCAGAGCAGGACAACCCATCTACCAGTGGCTGCAGGTTTGTGGGGGTGAGGGCTGGGGGAGAGATCTGGAGGCCTGGGCCACACTCTTGGACTAATGTCTTTCCCACTCCTTTCCCATGGGCCCTGCAGCAGTGAACAGTCAGCTAGGGCAAGGACTCAGAAGGAACTCATGACAGCACTTCGGGAGCTCAAGCTTCGACTGCCACCAGAGCGTCGGGGTAAAGGCCGTTCTGGGACCCTGGCCACACTACAGTATGCACTGGCTTGTGTCAAGCAGGTGCAGGGTGAGTGATGTTTCTTAGGAGGAAATGCCAGGGCTTAGATCATTGTGGGGGATCAGTCTTCTTACTGAACCACATATGTGCTCTCACCTTGCAGCCAACCAGGAATACTACCAGCAGTGGAGCCTGGAGGAGGGTGAGCCATGTGCCATGGATATGTCCACTTACACCCTGGAGGAGCTGGAGCACATCACATCTGAGTATACACTTCGCAACCAGGTCTGTAGTAGCCTGGCTCCTCTATCCAATATACTCCCATCCCGCTCCCACAGCTCCTAATCCGTTCTTATTCTTACCCTCCTGCTAGGATACCTTCTCGGTGGCTGTCTCCTTCCTGACAGGCAGAATTGTATACATTTCGGAGCAGGCAGGAGTTCTGCTGCGTTGCAAGCGGGATGTATTTCGGGGTGCCCGCTTCTCAGAGCTCCTGGCTCCCCAGGATGTGGGTGTCTTCTATGGCTCCACGGCCCCATCTCGTCTACCCACTTGGGGCACTGGGGCCTCTGCAGGTGAGGTGCCCATGTGCTTGTGGGGAGGGATGAGCAGCCCCAGGATGCTTTTGCTGGGAGGGTCAGGGGACCAGCCCCAGGATACTTTTGCTGGGAGGGTCAGGGGACCCAAGCTTTCCCATGATGGGTTCTTCTTAGCCCAGGTAAGAGATAGGAAATGTGCTCAGTGCTTTTCTCATCTGTCCCAGGTTCAGGTGTCAAGGATTTTACCCAGGAGAAGTCTGTTTTCTGCCGTATCAGGTAGGTGGGGCAAGTAGTAGTAGGCCTCTCTCTTTCTTAATCCTCCCCATATCTTTGCTGTGTGGGCCATGACCTTGAGGGGCCAGTGACTTTCCATTGCAAGTCCCTAATACTTTTCTCTACTTTGCTAGAGGAGGTCCTGACAGAGATCCAGGGCCTCGGTATCAACCATTCCGCCTAACTCCATATGTGACCAAGATCCGGGTCTCAGATGGGGCCCCTGCACAGCCGTGCTGCTTGCTCATTGCAGAACGCATCCACTCGGGTTATGAAGGTAGGTGGGCTAGGTCCCTGGCCTGGTGGGGAGTAGGAGGAAGGGTTTTTCTCTAGGCCTTGGTTAGGGTACAGGATGTAGGACTGGGAGGCACCAGCCAGGTCTTTAGAAATTTGGAACAGAAGGTGGTATTATTAGGAGAAGGAGTTGACTCCTTTTTGGGTGTTGGGTTGGATAAGGGCTTTGAGCTGGGGCAGAGTGAAGAAACTTTGGTGGTTTTCAGTGTTATTACTAGTACAAGGCACAAGAATGGCCCAGAGCCTTTTAGTGGGCCATAGCCCCTGGAGCTAACTGCCAGGAGGCCATCCTGGCCCCAGGTAGAGAGGAGGGCTGAGGAGCTGGACCATTCTGGATGAAGCCCAACAGCAACACATTCTGTGCCATAGCTCCCCGTATCCCCCCTGACAAGAGGATTTTCACCACGCGTCACACACCAAGCTGCCTCTTCCAGGATGTGGATGAAAGGTAGGGTCAGCACCTGGATGGAAGGGAGTGGCTAGGTCTGAGGTCATAGCTATTCTGACACCTCTTCCCATTGCAGGGCTGCTCCGCTGCTGGGCTACCTACCCCAGGACCTCCTGGGGGCACCAGTGCTTTTGTTCCTGCATCCTGAGGACAGACCACTCATGCTGGCCATCCATAAGAAGAGTAAGTTTCTCTCAGCTTGTTCTCCTTTCCTGGCTATCTCTTGGGCTTTTTCACTGCTCTCATGGTGGTATCTCATGGGTGCCTTGGTCTCTTGGATCTCCAGTGGGGTGGCCCTTTACCTTGCTCATCTCTCCCTCCCACTAACCACCCCACCTCATTTGTCACTCCCATTAGTCCTACAGCTGGCAGGCCAACCCTTTGACCACTCCCCTATTCGCTTCTGTGCCCGTAATGGGGAGTACGTCACCATGGACACCAGCTGGGCTGGCTTCGTGCACCCCTGGAGCCGTAAGGTGGCCTTTGTGTTGGGCCGCCACAAAGTACGCACGTAAGTGGGTCATTTAGATAACTTTGGGGGTGGGGAAGTGTGGGAGGGGGCAGGGCTGAAGACTGGACTGGGGACACATGACTGGACTCAACTTTCTGAATTCCGCAGGGGACCCCTGAATGAGGATGTGTTCACTCCTCCGGCTCCCAGTCCAACTCTGTCCCTGGACTCTGATATCCAGGAGCTCTCAGAGCAGATCCATCGGCTACTGTTGCAGGTAAGAGCTGAAGAGGGGGGCTTGAGAGGCATGAAGAGGGTGGGAAGCAGACCGTAGATATCTAACCTGTCCTTCTCTCTGCCACAGCCCGTGCACAGCTCCAGCCCCACAGGACTCTGTGGAGTTGGCCCCTTGATGTCCCCAGGCCCTCTCCACAGCCCTGGCTCCTCCAGTGATAGCAACGGCGGTGATGCTGAGGGGCCTGGACCACCTGTTCCAGTGAGTGACCCTCTCCAGTTCACCTAATTGCCTGATCTCCTGTCCTTCTTGGAGTCAGCATTGCCGTACCCAGAGCTTTTCCTTATGCCCCACTCCCTCTTGCTTCCTTCCTTTCTTTGTCTGTTCCTGTCCAGGCCTCATGCTTTTTCACTGATACCTTTTATTTTATTTCATCCTTGGTTTCTGGTACTAGGTAGGTACCCTAGTATGCCCACTGCTCTGCTGTGCCCACAGGTGACTTTCCAGCAGATCTGTAAGGATGTGCATCTGGTGAAGCACCAGGGGCAGCAGCTTTTCATTGAGTCCCGGGCCCGGCCTCCACCCCAGCCTCGCCTCCCTGGTGAGTTGGTGATACTGTGGGGAGGAGTGAGGAGGGAGACCTGAGGATCCCCTCTCCCTCACCGCAGACCCATTTACCTTTTTCTCTCCTTGTGCCAGCTACAGGCACATTCAAGACCAAGGCCCTTCCTTGCCAGTCCCCAGACCCAGAGCTGGAGGCAGCCCCTGCTCTGACCCAGGCTCCACCACCCTTGGTCCCTGAGGAGGCTGAGAGGAAAGAAGCCTCCAGCTGTTCCTACCAGCAGATCAACTGCCTGGACAGCATCCTCAGGTAAGGCATGTCTGGCACCTTCCCCCCTCAGCCCTTGGTCTGCCCCACCCCAGGCCTTGCCCTGATGTTCCTCCTGCATCTCCGCAGGTACCTGGAAAGCTGCAACATCCCCAGCACAACCAAGCGTAAATGCGCTTCCTCCTCCTCCTATACTGCCTCCTCAGCCTCTGATGATGACAAGCAGAGGACAGGTCCAGTCCCCATAGGGGCCAAGAAAGGTAATGACCCCCAGTACATGCCCAGCTCCCATTGCCCTGTCCTGGCCCAGTGGTCCTGGGTCTCTATACTTCTGCCATGGGGGCCCCCACCTCGCTCTGCCCTGCCCTCTTTCTTTGCCTCTCTATCTTCAAACTCCTCCCTATTGTCCCTCTGTCTTCCTCCTCCCTGGGAACCCCTCTTCTGACCTCCCAGTGGGGTAGGGGTGGTAACCAGTGCCATCTCTCTGCACAGATCCATCATCAGCAGTGCTGTCTGGGGAGGGGGCCGCTCCACGGAAGGAGCCAGTGGTGGGAAGCACCTTGAGCCCGCTCGCCCTGGCCAATAAGGCGGAGAGCGTGGTGTCCGTGACCAGTCAGTGTAGCTTCAGCTCCACCATCGTCCATGTGGGAGACAAGAAGCCCCCGGAGTCGGGTATGGGCGTGGAGTGAGGGGGGCATTGCCTGGGCTCCACTTGATCCCCCAGCCAGAGTTCCTTCTTACCTTCCTTTTCCCTGCCCTTCTCCCTCCATCCCCAGTGGAGAGAAGAAGGCCTCCCTCTTAGCTTGGGGCTACTGCTGCTTATTTTCCACCAGCCCCTGCTACTTGCCCCTCCCTTATTCTGCTTTCTTTTTTTACTGTCAGTTGAAATAAAAATATGGAATATGGAAGGGGGTTCAGCCCCAGGGTACTGACCACAGAGGTCAGAGGCAAGGAATGTTGAAGTTCCCTAAAGGGTCTTTAAGTATTGACTTCAAAAATGTATGAAGAAAGGGCAAGGGGTGGGTTTCATTTCCAACAAGCTGTGATGGTGTCATCCCTAGGGGTTCCTGGCATGGTAGTGGCCACTGGAAGGGATTGAGTATCTCTCTGTCCTGGAACAACTTTGCATGGAGAGGTGGGCCTTTGGCCAGCCCTCAGCAGAGAGGTGGCCAGGAAATGCACATGGGCCAAGGCTTGGCTAGGGTAGAAGGCCGGGGTGGGTGGGGTCATTGCACAGGGAGGGTGTGATGTGGATGTGTTGCCCCCTGAGATGGTTCTGATGTCCCTTCTCCATCTCACTTTCCTTAGACATCATCATGATGGAGGAACTGCCTGGCCTAGCTCCAGGCCCAACCCCCAGCCCGGCCCCCAGCCCCACAGTAGCCCCTGACCCAGCCCCAGATGCCTACCGCCCAGTGGGCCTGACCAAGGCCGTGCTGTCCCTGCACACACAGAAGGAAGAGCAAGCCTTCCTCAACCGCTTCCGAGACCTTGGCAGGCTGCGTGGACTTGACAACTCTTCCACGGCCCCCTCGGCCCCTGGCGAGCGAGGTAGTCACCTGGGGCTTCCCTGAGCTGCTCTCTGCCCAGACTAGGGCCAGACGGTTGCATGGTGGGCATTGAGGGAGATGTGCCTGCTCCAGGGACCCAGGCTGGTGCTGCCTTCACCACCAGGGCCCTGTCTAGGGACAGGCCCCTCGCTAGCCTCTCCCCCTTAGGCTGGGGTTCCGGGCTGCAGCCAGAGGAGGGCAACCTGGGGGGCTGGCACTGAGACAGGAGGGCAGAGGTGCTCTGTTCCAGGTAAGCTACTTCAGGCCTATCCTGGGGGCAGGGGCAGGAAGTATGCTCATCTAGGTCTCAGATGTTGCTGATCAAGAGATCTGCGCAGACTCTGGGTCAACTCCCAGTGGGGTTGGAGCTTCAAGGGCAGATGAAGGGCAGCCCCTCCAGGGGCCTGAGGGAGGTCCTGTGCAGATGGATACAGGACTGAGGGCTCAGTCCTGGGGTTTCCCACCCACCTCTTCACTCCACTGCAAGCCAGACAGCACAGCCTCGACTGGCAGGAGGAGGACCTAGGCTGGCAGTGCCTGCGGGATTTTGGCAAATGGACTGGAGCTGCCTTCCTTTTCGTCTGTGGACCTACTCTGCCTCCTCCCATCTGCCAGTGTGCCTCTGTCCTTTGCACATCCCCATCTTGACCCCTCATGTAACCTTGACTTTCCCTGGCTCCTTTCTCAATAAACCCCCCTCTCCCTGGCTCCTGTGATTCTTCCCTGAAGGTGCCCCTACCTCCTGAGTCCCTTCTGTTCTGTCATGCCTGAGAAGCTCTTTCTGGGGCCTTTCCCTGCCCTCTCCCTGGTCAGTGTGTCAGGGCAGTGGGAGTGGCAGGAGCACTAACTGCCAGGCTGAGGCCCTCACTAACCCTAGTCTTTCCCCACAGGCTGCCACCATGGCCCAGCACCCCCCAGCCGCCGACACCACTGCCGATCCAAAGCCAAGCGCTCACGCCACCACCAGACCCCACGGGCCGAAGCCCCCTGCTATGTCTCCCACCCCTCACCTGTGCCCCCCTCTGGCCCCTGGCCCCCTCCTCCAGCCACCACTCCTTTCCCAGCAGTGGTCCAGCCTTACCCACTCCCAGTGTTCTCCCCACGGGAAAGTCCCCAGCCTCTTCCTCCTGCTCCCACATCTGTGCCCTCTGCCACTTTCCCTACCCCCTTAGTAACTCCAATGGTGGCTTTGGTGCTCCCTAACTATCTGTTCCCGACTACATCTAGCTATCCCTTTGGGGTACCTCAGACACCAGCTGAGGGGCCTCCCACCCCTGCCTCCCACTCACCCTCCCCATCCCTGCCCCCACTTCCTCCCAGTCCCCCACGCCGCCCAGACTCCCCACTGTTCAACTCAAGATGCAGTTCCCCACTCCAGCTCAATCTGCTGCAACTTGAGGAGCCCCCCCGTCCTGAGGGGGGCACTGTTGCAGGGGGTCCTGGGAGCAATGCTGGGCTCCCACCTCCTAGTGAGGAGGCCGCTGAGCCTGAAGCCAGATTGGTGAGCTTTCACCCCATATGCCTTGCTACCAGTCCCCGACCCTTAGCCCTTGTCCCTCTTCCCCCTGGTGCTACTTCCTGCCCTAGTCGGCTGGTGTCTCGGCTTCTTGGAGATGGGAGACGGGGCAGGAAATCCTAGCTGAATTTCTAAATGAGGCAGAAATGGGTTGCCACCCCCATGAAGGGACAGTCTTGTCTCTCTGACAGGTGGTGAGGACATCTCAATAAGTGCTGAAAGGGCATTTGCCACTTGGAAAGGGTCTGGTGTCACATCCCCTACTCTTTGTTAGCTTTCCTGTCTCAGTTTGGCCCTGTGTCATGGAATGGGGAGCAGAACTCTTGGTTGGATGTTCCTCCCCTGACCCCTCCAGTAGAAGCAGTTGAAGGGAAGCCCAGTTGCTAACCCCTTAACCCCTCCTTCAGGTGGAGGTAACTGAATCCTCCAATCAGGATGCACTCTCTGGCTCCAGTGATCTGTTGGAACTGCTACTGCAAGAGGACTCGCGTTCTGGTACAGGCTCTGCAGCCTCAGGCTCCCTTGGCTCTGGCTTGGGCTCTGGATCAGGTTCAGGCTCCCATGAGGGTGGCAGCACCTCAGCCAGCATCACCCGTGAGTGCCCACCTTCCAACACCTCTGGGATTAGGACAGTAACTGGGGAGTTGGTAAACCAGGCCTCATCTAGGCTGAGCTTGCCAAGGACAATGGGCTGAGTGTGTGACCTTTGAGGGTGGTATGATGAGGCCCTGGGTTGGACATGCTGACTAGACTGGCTCCACTGGCCTGCCCCCTGCTCCATAGGCAGCAGTCAGAGCAGCCACACGAGCAAGTACTTCGGCAGCATTGACTCTTCGGAAGCTGAAGCTGGAGCTGCTCAGGCCAGGGCTGAGCCTGGGGACCAGGTCATTAAGTATGTGCTCCAGGATCCCATCTGGCTGCTTATGGCCAATGCTGACCAACGTGTTATGATGACCTACCAGGTGCCCTCCAGGTGAGTTTCAGAGGCCACTTCTGCCTCCCTCTCAGAGGTAGTAGGGAGACTGGCTTTCCTTCATTGCCCAGAAAACTTGGGGTTCCCTTTCCTGGAATGGCTCCGACCTGGATGTTCCCATACTACCCTCAGTCCCTTGGAGCCTTACCGTAGTTCTTTCAACCTGAGAGCAGGTTGACTGAACTTGGAAGGTACCTGTGGTTCAGGAGAGGAGCAGAAGACCGTGGGTGGGGGCTTTGGTAGAGGAAAAACATCAACTGGTCCTGGCCTGGATCCCAGCCTCTGCCTTCTGAAACCTTTCCTTGTGCAGGGACATGGCATCTGTGCTAAAGCAGGACCGAGAGCGGCTCCGAGCCATGCAGAAGCAGCAGCCTCGGTTCTCAGAGGACCAGCGGCGGGAACTGGGTGCTGTGCACTCCTGGGTCCGCAAGGGACAGTTGCCTCGGGCCCTTGATGTGATGGTGAGAAAAAAAAAAATGAGGGATAGAGGCTAATGGCTGTCCTTATTGTCCTTGGATCTTTGATTCTGAAGGATGTTAATCCCACTAAATTTGCTGCCAAGTTATATGGTATTAGACCACATGAGCTTTTGCAGAACCTTTCTGAACCCCCTCCCATGCTAATGTACATTGTAACTGTCCCATGGGGAGTCTGGGTGGAGTGCAAAAGGCATTTTCCAAGCTTGTTGGATCCCAGGTGCATCCCAGGACTGGTTTCTTGGGAGCACACTTTGGGAAATACCACAGGGTTGGGTGGGAAATTGGGCTGTTGATTAGCAGTGAGGACTCTGCCTAACTCACTTATCCCTTTCTCCTTCCAAGGCCTGTGTGGACTGTGGTAGCAGCTCCCAAGACCCTGGCCACTCTGATGACCCACTTTTCTCGGAGCTGGATGGACTGGGGCTGGAGCCCATGGAGGAGGGTGGAGGCGAGGGTGGCAGCAGTGGTGGTGGTGGTGATGGTGATGGTGGCATTGGTGAGGGTGGCGAGGAGGCCCAGGCCCAAGTTGAGGCCAAGGTCTCAAGCTCTCAGGACTCTGCCATGGAGGAGGAGGAACAAGGTGGGAGCTCGTCCAGTCCAGCCTTATGTGCAGCAGAAAATGGCACCAGCTAAACTCCATTTTGGGGCCACTTCCTGGAGTCCATGCAAGGCATCCTTCTTCAATGTTACAATTCTCAGAACTCAGATGTGGCTGGACCAACCAATAGAAAACTGCCCCAGCTTCTCCCACCTTAGGGAGTGGGACCCCCATCACCAGCCTGGGATCCAAAGGCTGCCTCTGGCTTCTTAGTGAACAGAGGGTGGAACTTTTCAGGCCAGCCAAGAGGAGGGTCACCTCCCACCCCTGGTGGAGGCCCTTCTGGATAAGGTTGCTGACCCGCTGCTGAAATGGGCTCGCCAAATCCCAGCTGAGCCTGAGTCCCAGTCCCGAGGTTTGGGGCTGCACTTATTTATTGGGGGAGACAGCTCTCTCTCCCACCTCCTCCCTAAGTGGGGGGAGGGGAGCCTGGGGCCCAAGGAGGACCCAGGGGTTTGAACCCCTAGCTGCTCCAGGGTGGGGGAGGTTGGTGGACCATGGAGTCCCTGGTGCTGCCCCTCAGGTGGGACCCAGGCGTTCTCAGCTCTACCCTCTACCAATGGCATTTGTGTTTTTGATATTGTGTCTGTTATTATTTTTTTAATACAAAAAGAAAGAAATCAAAAACCCAGGACTTTGTGAAATGAAGTTTGGGGTTTGGGTGAGGGGAGAAATGGCTCTGCTTCCAGGAGGGTTGTAGTGAGGGTGGCCACTTCCATCTCACGCCACTGTATGAACCTGTTCCTCTCTCCTGCACATACCTTCATTTGAAGGGCCCTACTGAGACAGCTAAATCTACACCTAACTCAGAACTCTCCACTCACCTCTACCATTACTTCCGCTGGGTTTGTCCTGGGAAGTAAAAGGACCTGGGCAAGCTTCAACCATGGGTCACGATCTTAGGGGCTGGAGGAAGCCCTCTTAACCCTGCGGTGCCCTGAGGCAGTAGAGAGTTTAACTTTTATTTTAGTATCTTGGTCATCACACAGGAGATTAGATAACTAAGGCACATTGAGTAAGGTACCCATTCAAGGAGGGTGGAGCGGGGCTCAACCTGAAAAGGAAATCACTGGAATTCCATTAAAATTGGGAGTGGTTCACCACATGCTGGAGCCCACTAACACCTGATCTATCGCGAGGCACAACCTATGCTTCGGCGGCGCCGTGGCTTAGCTGGTTAAAGCGCCTGTCTAGTAAACAGGAGATCCTGGGTTCGAATCCCAGCGGTGCCTGACCCAGTGAGTGTATGGTATATTATTGCTGCGATGAGAATGAATAACCCCGGTCTTGCAAACGCTATCTGTCGCACCCTGTCAAGAAATTCTTCTTCTTAGCAAGTTAATACCTCTTTGGGATTCTGTTCCCGTGCACTTTTAGTGTGTATTTGGAGACTAAAACAATCCTTAATTATCGCCTTGGAAATCCATAATCCGTGGCCCTCTCGTCCCATTATCTTCCCCCAAGGACGTGGGGAACAACTCTGACTTGGGCTTGTTTTGTTGAGGACATACTGTGACTGCAGGAGGGGAGGCAGGTCAAGGGAAGCTACCACTGCAACCCCGATGCTAACTTGGTCAAGGCGGGAATCCACGCCTCATCCTGGGCGCACGCGCGCAGTCATCTCCAGCCAGAGGAACGAGGCGGGCACGTTGATAGGCAGCTATAGTTGCGCAGGCCCGAGGCCGCACGCGGCTGTGATGGCCGAGTGGTTAAGGCGTTGGACTCGAAATCCAATGGGGTCTCCCCGCGCAGGTTCGAATCCTGCTCACAGCGTTGGTAATTTTGGCAGTGGGTATGGCCTCCTCTAAAGGAGGTAACTAGTTTGTTTTCTAGGCCTTTCCTTCCCTTGAAGAAGCTTCCCAAAGTCTTGAGAAGATCACAGGTAATCAACCCCGTACCATCCTGCCAGCGCCCTCTTCCGAGGCTCAGCCTCCTACCAACCTGCAAAAGCCTTTTTATGGCCAATTTCGATTCATAATTCAATTTTCGATTTCTTGTTGCTACTAAGCAATTAGATTACATTTCCCTAATCCGTTCAGCCTCCTTCTGATCTATACGACTATTTCATTTCTTCTCTCACTACAGCCACGATTCTCTTCATCTCTCTTCTGCTTTACCTCCCGTGTCACTGAGAAAATAAAGCATTCTGAACAATTTCCCACGGACATCCTCAACCCCGCTACTTACCTACCCACCTGCCTAAGCCTGACCACAGACTTCCTTTCCCTCTCGGACCTGTAGGAGAACCCTTCCACTGAACTATGGAACCTCTAGACCTATTAGATTTCCCACCCTCTTGGGCCCACTCAAGAACATTGCTTTTTTCCTATACCATCAAATTTCCCTCTCTCCTGGATTTTCCTACCAGACATTGTAATTTCTCTCATTTAGAACAATCAAGACAACAAAACCCATCTACTGAGACTTAAACGCGTCCCCCAGAAGTGCACGTGTTGGAACCTCAATCCCCAATTTCACTTGTTGATTGGAGGTGGGGTCTTTGGGAGGTAATTAGGATTAGAGAAGGTCATGAGATTGGGGTCCCAACAGTGACATTAGTAGCTTTATAAAAAGAGGAAGAGAACCATCGCGGCCTAGGAGCACACTTGCTCATTTGCTGTCTCACCATATGATGGCCCTCATCAGATTGCCCAGCAGATGCCAATGCCACACTCTTGCACTTCCCAGCCTCCCAAACCATGAGCTAAATAAAACTTTATAAATTATCCAGTCCATGTTATTGAGGGATAGTAACAGAAAACAGACTCTATCTTGTCACCACACGCTCCTCCAACTACCACTTAATTTCTCTGCTCCTCTCTACAACAAGCATAATAAGATATACTGTCTCCAGCCTCCCATTCTACGGTGAGCCCTCTCCAACCAGGTGTTCTTTCCTACACCAAGGCTTCCCTGGTTGGGGTTACTTACCAAATGACCATCACATTGCTAAATCCATCCATCTCTAAACTAGTTAGCAACACTTGACACAGATGCCTCTCTCTTTTCTTGGGGTGCTAGGAACTGAAGCCAGCCCTTGTACTCAGGGGAGTGCTCTACCACTGAGCTATAGCTACAGCCCCAGTCCTGTACTCTCTTTTAGTAATACATTCTTCTCTGGCCTTGTAGGCCACCACACCCCTCTGATATTCCTTCTTCACTAGCAGCTTGATCACAGACTCCTTTGCTGGTTTCTCGTCAGCTGCATCTCTAAATGTTTGGTTCCAAAGCTCAGTCTTTCAACTGAATCTTTTCTCTACCTGTACTCACTACCTTGGTGATCTCCAGACCTGTGGCTAAATCATCCCACATTTGCATCTCTAACTCCAGAACGTTCCCCTGAATTACAGATGCTTCTTTCCTGTTGCCCATTTGTCACCTACACTTAGATATCTAGTAGGAACCACTAACTTAAAATGTGTAAATTCTACTCCTGGTCTTCTCCCCAAAAGCTGCTTCATCTGTAGTCTTTCCATTTGAAATTCCAATCCCTCAACTGGTTAGACTAAAATCTCCATAATCATCCCCGATTCTTCTTTTTCTCACACTCCACATTTAATCAGTCTGCAGTTTCTTTTCAAAATGTGTCAAAAATCTGACTACTTGTCACTACATTCACCACTCTGCCCTGGTCCAAACCACTCTCCACTCTCACTTAGATTATTGCAAGATCAGCTAAATTATTTCCTGGTTTCCATTCTTATCCCTAGTTCCACGATGGTGTGTTCGTAACACATTAGGCAGAGAGGTTGATCCTTATAAAAAAATGAATAAGACTCTGTCATTCCTCTCCTAATTTCCCAAAGGGGGAAAATAATTTTTTCCAATGGGGATGTCAATGTGAATTAATGGTTTTAATGTGCATATAGGTATAGAAATAAATGTATACACACACACACACACACACACACACACACACACACACACACCCTAGCTCTGAACACTGAGTGAGTCTAGAAGCAATCATACACCAGTAGCAATGAGCACACCAAGAGCCTCCATCTTAGCTACCAAATACTGTTCTCTACTGAAATGAACTTGGAGAAAAGGTTGATTCCAGCCCTGAATCTGGAGAATTATAAGATTATTTTGAGACATTTTGTTGCAACAGAAAGCAAAGAAGTGCTCAAAGAATAAATATCAAAAAGATACAGTACCAAGGGGCTACAGCAGGCTGGGTTCCAGTGGCCCCTACCTGCAATCCCAGCAATTTCAGCAATCCCAGTGACTGGGAAGTTTGAGGCAGGAGAATAACAAGTTCATAGGCCAGCCTGAGTAATTTAGCAAGACTCTTAGCAACTTAAACCCTTTCTCAAAATAAAAAATAAAGTGATCTGTGGATATAGTTCAGGGGTAAAGTGTCCCTGGTTTCAATCTCCAGCACTGAAAAAAGAAAAGAAAAAATGTTAGGGTTCTTTTGTAGAAGAGGACTCTTCACAGCTTCTGGCCCTTGTCTGCCTGGGTCTCCTCTCTTAATTTTTTTTTGTTTATTTGTTTTGGTACTGGGGGTTGAAAGCAGGGGGCTGCACCAATGAGCTATATCCCCCAGCCTCCCTCCCTCTTTCTTTCTTTCTTCCTTCCTTCCTTTCTTTCTTTCTTTCTTCCTTCCTTCCTTCCTTCCTTCCATCCTTCCTTCCTTTCTCTCTCTCTCCCCCTCCTCTCTCTCTCCCTCTCTTTCCACCTTTATTTATTTATTTTTACATAGTACCAAGGATCAAACCCAGTGCCTCACAAATGTAGGCAAGCACTCCACCACTGAGCTACAACCACTGTCCCATCCCTGGTCCTTTTACTTTTCATTTTGAGACAGGGTCTCTCTGAGTGGCCCAGAGTAGCCCAGAATTTACAATTCTCCTTTCTCAGCCTCCAAAGTAACTGGGATCACATGTAAACCCACCACACCCAGCTCTCCTCTTAGTTTTGACTCCTACCTAAGGTAAGTAGAGAGAGACAGGACAACAAAAGTTTCCCTGGTGGGCTTAGAAATCTCTCTGGATTCAGCCCTTGGCTCAGGACACTAGTCCTTCTACTTCCCAGTCCCCACCCTCCACACTCTCCTACCCAGGACCCAGGGGGTCCCAGGAAACTAGCCTTCCCTTTGAAGAACTGAAGAGGGAGGAGCAGAGCCCTGAAACCCAGGCTTGAGGAGAAGCACAGTAGGAGAGGGGAAGCTGGATCACTTCACCAGCTGTCTCTGTTCCTTCCCACCCTCTGCTGCCCCTCACATGTGGGACTCCAGCTCTCCTCCCCAAGCCCCAGTGTAGCCCACTGTTGGAGGGCAGCCAGGGAAAGACCACTGTGTTTACAGACATAGGCCCTTGCTAACAGAGCCATTTAAAGCCACTTGGAAACACACCCTCCCCAACAGACACCCTCACACACATACACAGTGGGGACAGGAATAGGGGGCATCCTCAGAGGCCATGTCTGGACCTGAGATTACCCAGTCCATTCAACTCATTTCACCCTGCAGCAGCTCTTGGTTTTTAAAGATTTTTTTTTTTTTTTGTAGATGAACACAATACCTTTAATTATTTATTTTTATGTGGTGCTGAGGATGGAACCCAGTGCCTCACATGTCTTGGCAAATGCTCTACCACTGAGCTACAACCCCAGCTCCAGCTCTAGATT